GGAAGAAATAATTGGGGAGGGAGGGTCCCTTGAACAAGGCTGGCTCAGACCTCATGGGAGAAGGTGTGGTTGTAGCCCAGGTGGGAACCTTTGCCAGGACCAGTGCTGGTCATGGCCAGGGCAGGGGCAACAGCTAGGGAAAGGCCGGCCAGCCAGGCAAGCAGGAAGCTTTTCTGCCCTCTCATGGGCAGGTGGCCTGGGGAGCCCCCACAATTCTTCAGAATCCACTAGTGGGGTGCCCTGGACCTCCATAAGAAGCACTCCGTGGGGCCCACTGTGGTCAGTGTGAGCCAGTGCCCCAGATGCCCCCTCTTGTGCCACTTCCCCTGGTTCAGTAGGGGGAAGAAAAGAAAGAAACAGAAACCTCCTGGAACTTAGTGAGACCCTGTCTCAACATTTAAAAATTTTAAAAAAGCTGGGGATGTGGCTCAGTCCAAAGGCTCTGGGCTCCATCCTCAGTACCACAAACAAACAAACAACCACGACCAAGACACAACTCATTAACATGGACCCTGGTGTGCACTTCCGAGCCCCATCCTTCCTCCCCCCTATGCTGTCACCCCTGGGATCTACTGACCTGTAGTTTGGTCATTTCAAGAACGTAAGAGAAACGGAATTCCACTATAGAGAACATTGCCGAGAGCACTGGCCGTGGGTCTCGATCTCCTGTGAGACAATGTGATGTAAGCTGGCAAGGACAGATGACAGAGACAGGACTAGAGAGGAAGCTGGGTCTTGGGCTGATCTAAGCCGCTCTGGGCAGCAAAGACAAAAGGCACCAAGCGCATCCGTGTTTATTCATTACAGGTGTGGGAAGAAGGGGAGGAGGACACCTGGTGATAGCAGGTATCGCAGGCAGGACTGTAAAAGGGAGGCACTGGCATATTTTTGCTGAAGAGAACAAATGGTTAATTCAGAGGGAAAGAATTTAGTTGGCGTCAAGCTGACTTTGGCTGGAAGTGAACTCAGCAAGGCCCTGTGACTGCATGAACTAGGACGTGAGTCTCGGTAGCAGCCATTAGCAGAGGAGCTATACTCGCCCAGCTCTGCTATCTGACTGCCCATTTGAGTCCCATAAAGCTTTGGTCAGACTCCTTACATAGTACAGCTGAATTATGGAGGGGCATGAACCTTGTGCCACTTATAGCCGCTAATACTGGGCAGAGATGCCTGCTACATCCCACTGTACAGAAAATTGCAGGACCCATTGTTCCTGGAGATTTGTCCGGGTTGTTAAATGTGTAAAAGTCGCTCCCTGTTTATTGCCCAGTGGTTCCGTGGTACGAATGGACCACAGTGTGTCTGACTATGCAACTGCTGAAGGGCCTCTGTTTTTTAGTGCGGTGCTATTGAAATAGCTAATGCGCTACAAGCTCATCTGCTGCTTCATGAAGGCGAAGACTGAGATGGGGCCAGCAAGGAGGTAGTAAGGGGGAGGTGCTTGTTGGAACTCTGAGAAGAGAGAAAGCTCCTGGGAGCTGGGAGGGGTCCCAGAAAGTGGGTGCTACATGGCTGTTTGCCCAGCATCTTTTATGGATGAGCAGAGCATGGGATCTGCCCAGCGTCCAAGGCTCACCTGTCACAGGCGGTCTGTGGGTTTACAATGACCAAGTGGGACTCATGCTCTCTAAACCAGCTTCTCAGCATGTGGAGTTGAAAAGAAAACCAGTTGTATTTTAGTTTTAATTTCTCCAAGTGAGGGGTTGCATCCATTCTGCCCGAGGAGCTCCTGTCCAGGTCTTAGCCCTGCTGCCACCTCATTTTAACTCCTACCCGTGGGGTGAGCACCGAACTCCTTCTCAGGCCCTGTCTCTTGCTGGCTGCCTCATCATACACGCAATAACCAAGCTGCCTCTTACGCTCTTACAAATAAAGCTGCTCTAAACATTTTTGTGTGGTTTTTGCATGAACATACATTTTCATTTTGGGAGATAAATGTGCCAGAGTGCAATTGCTGAGTTGTGTCACTGTTGCATGTTCAGTGTGTTAAATCCCTGCCAAGCCATTTTGGGGGGACCGTGCACTGCTTCATTCCCATCCGACAGGTACGTATCACCCCATTTCCATGTCTCCTCCCCAGGCCTCTGTGTAGCCCTGTGGTTTTATTTTAGCCATCTGGGTAGGTGTTTGGTGATACAGCCTTGGGGTTTTCATTTGCATTTCACTAATGAGTACTGCCACTGAATGTCTTTGCCTGTCCTTATTTCCATTGGTGGGATTACCCTCTTCACTGAAATGACCCTTTTTGGCTTGGCACGTTTTCTAATTCTTTTTTGCCTGTCGAGCTTTGATAGTTCTTACACTGTGCAAAAACTAGTCTTTGTCAGATGTTTGGTTCCCAAATATTTGCTCCTGTTTCTTACTCTTTCTTTTTATTCCCCTAAAATGGTGGAACAAAAGTTTTTGTTTTGATAAAGAGCACTTAATCATTTTTTTTTTTTTTTGAGACAGGGTCTTACTTTGTAGTTCAGGCTGGCCTTGAACTTGTAGCGATCCTCCTGCCTCAGCCTTCCAAGTGCTGGGATTGCAGGCACATGTCACCATGCCCGGCAATCACTATTTTTCCTTTTCTGAATCGTACTTTGGTGATGTATCTAAAAACCCCTGACCTAGCTTCATATTCCAAAGCTTTCTTTTTATTTTCTAAGTTTTATGTTTTACATGAAACCTGCAGTGCATTTTGAGTTAACTTTTGTATAAGGCCTGAGAATTAGGTTGAGGTTCTTTGTTTTTTCTGTCTGTGGATGTCCACTTGCCCCAGTGCCTTTTGTGCCAAGGCTGCCTTTCCTCCACTGAGTTGTTTTTGAGGTTTTGTAGAAATCAGTGGATCAGCTTGTGTAGGTCTGTCTCAGGGACCTCTGCTCCATCTGCCCATTGACCTAGGAATCTGTCCCTCTGCTCTCAGGCAGTCTTCCTTACTGTAGCTGTACTCTTGACACTGGGTAGGCTGAATCATCCACTTCATTTAAAAAACTTTTGTTTTAACTATTCTAATTCATTTGCCATTTCATATATATTTTATAATAACTTTGTCCATTTATTCAAAATTTCTTTCTAGAATTTTGGTACAGATCCCATCAAATCCTATATCATTTGGGAAAAATGGCATCTTTACAGGTTGAGTCTTCTAATACATGAATACAGCATTTCTTTCCATTTATTTACATCTTAAAATTTTTTTTGTATATCCTTTTATTGGTACATTTTAGGTGTACAATCATCTTTAAATTTTTTTATCATTACTGTGTCATTTTTAGCATACAGATCTTAAACATGATTTGTAGACTTGAACCCAAGTGTTTTAATTTTTAAATGATTGTAAATGGTATTGTTTTAAATTTTAGTGTCTGTTGCTCGTATGTAAACACACAATTGAATTCTGTATATTTATCTTGCATCCTGCAACATGGCCGAACTTGTTTATTAGTTCTAGGAGATTTTTTGGTTGGTTGGATTTGTTATGTTTTGTTTTTAAATTCCTTGAGATTTTTTTAGATGGACAGTCATGTAATCTGCAAAAAGAGACAGCTTTGTTCCTTTCTAGTTTGTATCTCTCTCATTTATTTTTCTTTTCCTCCCTTCCTTTCACTTCCCTTCCCTCCCCTCCTCTGCCCTGCTCCACCCTTAACGTGCTGGCCAGAATTTCCTGTACTATGTTAAATACAAGTGGTGATAGTGGACATCCTAGCCTAGTCCCTGACATGAGCGGGGGGGAGGGGTGGGCACTCAGAATGTTAGCTGTAGACTTTTGTAGATGCTTTTTATCAAGTTAAGAATTTTTTTCCTTTATTCTTACTTTATTAAGAGTTGTTATTCTGAATGGGTGTTGAATTTTGTCAAATGTTTTTTTCAGAGTTGGTTGATATGATCATGTGAATTTTTTTCCTTCTTAGCTTGTTAATAAGGTTGATTTTAAAAATATCAAACCAGGGCCGGGGATTTAGGTCAGTGGTTTTGCCACCTACTGCACAAGTGCAAGGACCTGAGTTCGATCCCCCCCAAAAAATAAAATATCAAACCAGCTTTCCATTCTTGGAATAAACATTTTCTTGGACACAGCATATAACTAGTTGTATCATGATTTTTAGTCCATTCTGCCAATCACTGCCTTCTAATTAGTATATTTAGACCATTACATTTAATATATCTCTTAATATGTTGGTGATTATATATATATATACATATATATATATATATTTTTTTTTTTGAGACAGGGTCTTGCTATGTAGTTCAGGCTGGTCTTGAACTCATTGTGTAGCCCAGGGTGGCTTCAAACTTGCAGAGATCCTCCTGCCTCAGCCTCCTGAGTGCTGGGATTTCAGGCATGCACCATCATGCCCAGCTATATTGCTTCTTAAGACTACTATAAGAATACCACAAACCTGGTGACTGAAAACCCAGAGGTTTAGGGGTGGGGATGTAACTCAGAGGTAGAGTGCTTGCCTAGCATGTACAAAACCCTGAGTTTGATCCCCAGCACATAAACAAAATAAGCCACAGAATTCACATAAATGTATTCTCTCACACTTCTGGAGGCCAGAAGTCAGAAATGCAGTGAGATCTGGAAGGTGTAAAGTTTGGCAAAGTGCATGTTAATGAGAAAGTTGCCCTTGTGGAGAACGGGGACTTGGTGCTCCTGAGGACCTCTGGGAATAGAATGAAGGCATCAGATCACCTCACCCAGAAGGAAGAGCCTGGGCTGATCAGTGACTGCGCCCATTGGTGGCAGGTCAGTGTATGAATTCACCTGCATGTCTGGGCTTCACCAGAGCGCTGGGACTGCGGTGGGGTGAGTCTGCCAGGGTCAGGGGTGGTCAGTGACAGCTTCGGGTGAGTGGGCTGGGTGTGGGCAGGCTTGGGGCGGCACTGTGGCCTTCATCTCCGGTGGCATTAAGTTGTGATTCATCGGATCCCAACAATAACAGCACCGTGCTCGTGACGGATGGGGACTTGGCCGGGAGGGACGGGCGGGAGGGGTGTGGTCAGCGCCCGGTGCAGGCGGCCCTGGCCACAGGGGACATAAAGGGCGCCTGGAGCGGAGCCGGTGCAGCCTCGTCCAAGCTCCAGGACCTGCTCGGCCGCGGACACAGCGCTGGAGATGAAGACCCTGCTCCTGACCCCCGTGCTGCTCGCCCTGGTGGCTGCCCTGCGGGCCCAGGACCCCCTGTCCCTCCAGCCAGAGGAGCCGGATGTGAGGCTGGGCGGGGGTGTCTGCAGGGGTGGCAGACGGAACTGGGGCTGTTTGGGGGGGGCTGTCTAAGGCCGGGTTCTGACCCCGCACTCCCGGTCCGGAGGGTCAGAGATTGGGGGATTCGGCAGACACGGCCCCTCCTGGGCCAGTCCTGGAGCAGGGAGCATTCTCACTGGCTCTAGGGGTGCAGCCCGGGCCGTGGGGTCTGATGTGGGCTTGTGGGGCTCACACTTGGCCGCTCCAGCTCACAGGGACCTGGTACACGAAGGCCTTAGTGAGCAACATGACGGTGCCGGGAAGGAAGATGTTCAAGGTGGCCTTCCCCTTCACGATGACAGCCCAGGAAGGTGGGAGCCTGGAGGCCAGGGTCACCTTGATGTGAGTGTGGCCCATGAGGACCCTCGGTCTCTGGCTCTGCCATCCACAGTTTGGACGTTAATGACAAAGTCCCCTGAGTTTGAGGGGACACGGTCCTGGCCACGTCCTCCAGTGGGGTTTTCAGGGTCACCCGGTTGGGGCCAAGGCCCGGCTGAGCTGAGTTGGCTCAGGTGTGGCCCGAGGGCAGCTGTCCCTGCACCTCCCATTGCAGGATTAAGGGTCAGTGCCATGTGAAGGAGATTCTGATGCAGAAAACCGCGGAGCCCGGCAAATACAGCGCCTGTGAGTGCTGCCCGCTGTGCCTGGGCCCCCAAGTGTTCCCCAGGAGCGGCGGCCTCCCCTTCCGGGGGTCTTGTGGCCCTGACACCAGACTCCAGGTGTCACGGCCTTGTCCAGAGCCGGGAGTGACCGGGCCACGGCTCCCTCTGGGCGGCCCTGTTGACCCAAGGGGAAAACTGAGGGCTCAGGACCCAGGAAGCGGGCTGGGCCAAGCTCCAGCCTCCAGGTCCCTGGCCTGCACGTCTGGAACCCACAACTGGGTCGGCTCCTTCCTGGGGACACAGCAGGGCCTGGCCTTGGGCCGGCGGGGGCCTGGGTGACACTGACACGTCCCGACTTCCCCTGATGTGGTCTCCAACGCTTCCTCAGGGGAGGATGGCGCTAAAGGGCGCTTCCCTCCCTGTCTGCAGTCGGGGGCAGGAAGCTCATCTATGTGGAGGAGCTGCCCGTGAAGGACCACTACATCTTCTACTGCAAGGAGCAGGGCCCGGGGAAGACATTTGGCGTGGGGAAGCTCGTGGGTGAGGACTGGGGAGAAGCCCCCTGGGCCACCCTCCGGGGTCCGGGCACAGCGTCTGTGGGCAGAGTGTGAACTCCGACTGAGAAGGGGTGGCAGGGCAGGGACGCCAGGGATGCGGCAGACGTGGCCCTCAGGGGCCTGACCACTCGGGAGGGCGCTGCAGCCACGGACGCTGGCAAGTGCTGCTTCCTGGGCACTCAGATGCTGGACAGGCCAGCTGGAAGGGAGTGGCCTTCGGGTCCTCCCTGGGGGACAGGGCCCCTCCAGGACACGGGGTCCTTCCAGGCCAGCGTGTGACCCTGCAGGACTGCTCAGGAGCCCCTCTGCCCCAGGGTCGCACGGTCCCAGGGCCCCAGGGACCTGGTCAGCTGGGCGGTGGCTGCCACCTCCTCCCTCCCTGTCCCCCTCAGAGCCCCTGGTCCCCTCCCAGGTCCTGCTTCCCCTCACCTGGCCCCTGTCCCACAGGGAGGACCCCGGAGGAAAACCCTGAGGCCCTGGAGGAGTTTAGGAAATTCGTGCAGCGCAAGCGACTCCCGCAGGAGAAAATCGTCATCCCTGAGCAGAGGGGTGAGTGGTGGCTCTGACCACGTCTCTCTCGTGTCCCCTCTGCATCCCCTGTGTCCCGGGTCCCTCTGCGTCCCCAATCTTCTCCCATGTCCCTGGTATCTCTCTGCGTCCCTCGCATCTGTGTCCCCGGTCCCCTCTGTCCCCTCACAGGGACACCAGGCCCTGCCTCACAGAGGGTCTGAGCTGGGTGTGACAGGGCCTGGGCACCCATCCAGGCCGCCTCCTCACCCCTGCTTTCCTTGGTTTCCACAGAAAGCTGTGTCCCCGAGCGAGACTAGGGTGAGTGACCCCTGTGAGGACACCGGAAAGTTCAGAGTCCTGGGTTCTGGAGTTTGAGGTCCAAATGCTGGGACACTCCTGGCCATTCGGGTTGCCTGGGTGTGACCCCAGGACACGAAGGAAGCCCTTTCCTGCCAGCACCGCACCACCGTCCCCCGCTCCCAGCCCCCACTCACAAGGAGGCCCAGAGACGCAGTCATGGAGCGGGAGCCCAGCACCGGGAGGAAGAGCTCTGGCCGGCAGCCGGGTCCCCACAGTCCCTGCCTGCAGCACACAGCAGGGCCTGACCCGGGCTCCTCTTCCCACGCAGCAGCTGCCCGGATCTGCGTCCCCCGGCTCTCCCTCCCCGCCGACCGGACCCGGAACCGACCACCCCTCCTCCTGCAGCCTCCACCCTGCAGCCGACCCCACCGGGCTCCAAATAAAGAACTTCAGCAGCAGCTGTGGCTCAGCCTGTCTGTGACGGGGCCTCGAGGGGGCTCCCGGGAGCTCTGCCAGGAGGGGGACCCCAGGGGCCCAGCAGCGACAGCCCCTCAGGGCCACTGGTGTCGCCTCCCCCTCCCAGGCAGGAGCGTTTGGGAAGCCACGGGGCAGGCGGGAGGGGGCATCTGCATCAGGGCTGCGGACAGTGGGACAGTGCGCCGTCCCGGCAGGGCTCCTGCCCCAGGAGGGCCTTAGGGCTCCTGCTAGGCCCCCTCTGTGCAGCCGGCCATGCAGGGGTGGGGGCGCCATGGCTCCATCGTCGCCCTCACCCAGACAGAGCCGGGCCGCAGCCTCCCCAGGACCTCGCTCCCTGCCCCTCCCGTGGTTTTCCCAGGGGCAGGGGCTGCACCGACACGGCCCACGGGGACTCGGGGGTGCAGTGTGGGGAGAGTTCCCTGTGCTGGTGCTAAAGAGGAACCCGCACACCCAGCGGGCCCTGGTTCCCAGATGAGCCTCAAGCGTCGTCTGTCCCTGAGGGCCAAGGTTGATAGCCCAGTGGCTGACAGCTCAGGGACCACCGCCCACCCCTGGCCTGCCCCTCGTCCCAGCTCTGTTCTGCTCCGCCTGGACCCGGCTCTGGCGGGGCTGCTGGGTGGTCCTGAGTACCCCGTGAGCCCGAGGCAGTCTGGACAGGCAGGCGGCAGGGCAGGTCCAGCCCCACAGTGGCCGTGGACACTGTGCCTCTCCAGAGCTCCGGCTCCACACAACAGAGGGGAGGCTGAGACACCTCCATGCCAGGACCAGAGAGCAGGCAAAGATAGTTTACTGATCGCAGGGTGGAAGAGGGTTTCCAAGCAATGGGGAGACAACCCCAGCTGAAAAGACAGGGATCTGACGTCAGGGAATGCAAAACGTGGTGCAGAAATCACCGACGAGCACCCAGGGCAGTGATGCCCTGGGCAGGGCCTGTCCCAGTGTCCCTGGCCCAGTGCCCCTGCACATGCATCGCCTCCTGGGCGTGGCTGTGCCTCTGTCCCCAGCCCAAGCCTCCACAGGTTGCCCGGCGTCCCAGTAATGTGTGGCCTGGGGACAGGACCTGGCCAGGCACCTCTGGGCCCTGGGACCTCAGCTCCGAGTGCCTATCCTGAGCCCTGGAGCCTCCCCGGGGCGGCCTGGCCAGTGCCACTCCCTTCTCGAAGCCCTGCATTCTGCACCCCAGCCTGTCCCTGCATCAGTTCTGGCCACTTTCAGCCTCGGGGTCCTCGAGACTCGCTCGCTGTCCTCAGAACCGGGAGAGTTGTTAGGAATAAGTCGGGACAACTTCATTGGAAGCAGCACGGGCAGCGGCTTCCAGAGGCCAGGGGTCCACAGGGTGACTGGAACCTGGGGCAGCACGGCGGGGAGGGCTGTCAGCCTGTCCTCCTTCCCAGGGGGTTTCAAAATATATTCCCAAAGCAAAGCACAAGAGCCCGAGGCGATGCCCCAGACGGTTCCGGTGACACTGCTGCCCTCCAGGCCACAGCAGAAGCCGAGCCCAGCCCTGGGGACAGAGCGCCTGATGTACATCCTCCGGGCTTAGCCAGGCCACTCCCGGGGACGGTGAGGCTCATGGAGCACGGACTTCACAGGATCACTGCAGGGAGCACACAGGCATTCAAGCGTGCACACACACGCACACACACGCAGGTTTGTGTGACTGCCCTGACTGTGGGTGCAGCACGATTGGTACAAGCATCAGCGTGGCACCCTGGGGCTGGCTAACATTTTTGACCCAACATCGCAGAAATAAGTGTGCTGGCAACCTTTCACCGCTCATGAATGCTCCCAGTCCCCGCACCTGCCCGTGTAGCTGCAGGTTGGTTTACTTTGTAGTGCGGCTGCCCCAGATGCTGACAAGGCCGACCCAGCTCCGTGCTTTGCTCAGGAGGAGTTGGGCAAGGAAGGTGGCAGCCAATGTAGGATCCTGCACTGCGGGGCACAGCTGGGCTCAGCCCCAAGCTTGCACGGTCCCACGCACTAGAGAGGCTGCGGTGGTCACTGGGAAGGAACTGCCCTGGATCCCGAGCGAGTCCCAGTGCTTCGGGGAGGACACAGAGCCCGGGGAGAGGCCCCGGGGAGCTCTGTGGCACTGCCACGAACTGTGGCAGCATGGCTGACGTGGCCTGACGGAGGGCCTGGGGGCAGCTCGGGCCTCGCAGCTTCAGAGCCCACCCTGAGGGCTCCCTGCGCTGTCCCTGCCTTCAAGGCCACACATGCCGTGGCAGTTCCTAAAAATTGAAAAAGCAAAAAAAAGACTTGGAATGGGGAAGTCTCGGGGCAGGCGGGGCAGGGGGTGCCGGGCACCTTCTCCTCTGTCCCCCGCCGCTGCCGGGCTGCTGTCCAGTGGGACGACGGCCCCTCTGTTCCCCAGGCCTGAGCTGGGAGGCAGAGGACCCAGAGAGTCCTGGGGCTCTTAGGCCACACGCCCAGGGCTTCTGACCCTGGACTCGCCTGCCTGCGGTGCCCAGGTCCACGCCCTGGCCTATCCCCAGGTGACAGGAAGGGAAGCACGGGCCCTCCCAGCTGGCGCTGGGCTGACACAGTGGAGGCCCCGGTCCGGGACAGCCGTGACTGGGGGCAGAATTGGCTGGTCTCAGCTGGGGGCTGCCAGAAGTGGGGGAGCCTGCAGTTGCCCTGTCTGTGACCAGGTTTCATCCTAGACCAGACTGGACAGACTTTTTAATTTTTAGACAGTCTCACTAAGTTGCTAAGTCACACAGGCTGGGCCGGAACTTGCCATCCTCCTGCCTCAGCCTCCTTGAGTGCAGGGATTACAGGCCACCGCGCCCAGCCGATTCTATGAATTTTAACAGATGGGTAAATCTTTATGACTGTCGGGAGCAATGGTACATAATTTCAGGGAAAAATCATTTGGTTAGCCTAGCTCTCCTGCCTACAGCCCAGCTATGGAATTCCGAGACATAACTCCGTTTTGGCCTCCGGTCACGACTGAGACCTCAGTGATCCGGTGATGCTGTGATTCTCCAGGACAAGATTACACCAGCTGAAGACATCCTGGGAGGAACAAACATCTGCTCAGTGTCTCGTTCTTGGATTGTTACATCTTATTTACGCAGGATGTACTGAACTCTGGGCAAGTCATTTGTTACATCTGTTTCTCCTGATGTACTGAATAAAAGGTGCAGTAAGCTGCGGGCTTCCGTTTAGTCTTTGCTGCCCAGAGCAGCACTGATCAGACCCAAAGCTCAGCTTCTTCTCAGTCTCATTTGTCTACCTTTCCTGTAATTCGCCATGCACTGCCGTGGCTCGCAGGAGACCAGGACTTAACTGCAGAGGTTCTGGTAATGTCCCCTTCCCCTGTTCCCTACATGTGACCACCACACGGCGCACATAGCAATGTTCTGGGACCCAAATCCTTTCTCGTGCCAGGCTGTCCCTTAGGGTCATCCCCTCCCCACTTTCCAAACGCTGACCTGTCTGTGCTCTGTCTCTCGATGATGTCCTCCAAACAGTCACAGGTGCGGAACTTCTGGCTTCATTCGTTCCTCAGGAGGAGGCCTTTGAGGTGCCGTCTGCCTCTTGTGAGCCCTGCCGCAGAGCCCTCCTGCGGGTGGCTAGGCCCTGGCACACGGGCCAGCGTGGACCGGGGGAACCAGGCCTGGCAATGTCCGGCCTCCGTGTCCTGCACAGGCGCCTCCAGCGTTACGCCAGGTGTCATTCTCACCGTACACCTGGGGCCTGGGCTGCTCCCTGGAGCATCTGGGTGACCTCCCAGGGGAGGGACCCCAAGAGGGCACCCGCCAGAGGGGGAGCAGGCCGGCTGGGGCCCTGAGGTCCTGGGGGGGGTTGTCCCCTCGGAGGAGGACTTCATGGCAGGGGAGTGCTCTGGAGGCCGCTCCACACAGGCCCACAGACATCACACACATGCATACACGTGCACAAACGTGCACATGCAGAGTCACACACACACACCCATACCAATGAACACACATGTGCACACAGAGACACATGTGCAGAGACATGCACACGCACTGGAATGACACAAAGTCTGTGCACACACACAGTCATGCCACATACACAGATATGTGCACACACACACACGCCCAGGAGCAAAACTGCAGTCACGCTGTGGGCAAGGGGTCTGGTCGTCAGTTCCTGTCTCCTCAGGAGCAGGCAGCCCTGGGAGCGTGTGGATTTGGGGACGCCCTCCGCACCAAACAAACCAGCAGGCCAATGGGCAGGGCAGAGGTGCAGAGCGCAGCAGTCTCTGGGGTCCTCTGGGAAACCAGTTGGGGGACAGGCGCAGGCACCGAGGGAAGGGCGGTAACTTGGCTGCAGGGCCGGGCTGGGCGGGGCTGAAGCGGAGCAGGAGCCGAAGGTTGGAAGCTGGTGACCTCTCTGGGGGGATGGGGCTGCCTGTGTCAGGACCAGGGCTGGCTCGGGCTCGGGTGGGAGCGCCTGCCTGGCTCTGACTCCTTGGCGGCGCTGCCCACTCTGATAACATCCTCCCCGGACAAGGCTGCCTCAGAGGTAAGCCAAGGCCCGGAGGGCTAATTACACAAATTAGCTCCCCATTCACCTCCATCCAAACCAAACGACGCCGTGGGCGGTGCAGACAGAGGGGGAGACCGTGGGGGCCTTCTCCAGCACCACCCAGGGCCACATAAACAGCGACCCGGCAGCGAGGGCAGCACAGAGCAGAGCAGCGGGGACCATGCAGCTGCTCCTGCTGGCTGTGGGGCCCGCCCTGCTGTTCACAGTGCCCGCTGCAGAGGACTTAGTGATCCCCAGCTCCCTGGACACGGTGAGAAGAGGCAGGGTGGGGTCCCTGCTGGAGTCAGGCTCCGGCCACCGTCCTGTGGATGTCACCCTGGCCTCCTGTGTCCTGGGTGACATTGCCTGCAGAGCTGGGGTGCCAGCTGGGCCCAGCAGTCACCCCAGGGAAGGGCACAGCATCTTCCTGCCCAATGGGGGCTTGGTGAGACCTGTCACAGGAGTCCTTCGAGGTTGGGCCCCTCCCATGGTGACCTGTGGACAAGTTTCACAGCACTTGCATTCCTGGGGGTCAGCGTCGTCATTTGGAAGCACTTTGCGTATCTTAAGCCCCCTGTAAATGTGACACATGTGGGTCTACCACAGGACCAGCACTAACATCTTACCACCAAACGTGCTATACACGTCGAACCCCACCATGCTGTGGGAACAGTAACAGCTGCAGCTGTCGGCTGCCGCGAGCCCTGGTCACGTACCCCGGGGCCCGACACAGCCTCCCTCCGGGGCTCTGTGTCTTTTGGTGGACTGGGTGAGCCTGCTCACAGATATCCGGGCACTCAGGCACCAGGCACTGCCGGGGCCTGGTTCCCATCTGATCCTCTTGCCCTCCTGGGAGCTGTCAGCGGTTGGCCACACTCTGGTGTTCACAGCCATTTGTTATTCTTGGAGGCACCACAGTGAGGGCATCCTGGCCTTAGGATGCACCTGGTTTTTTGAGGTTGATAAGATTGTTTGGGAGAGTTGGGGGTAGGGAAGAGTATATTCTGTACTTTTAATATGTAACACATTCTGAGTTAAGGGGCAGGGGGCACCTGCCCTTTCTTCCCATGGAGATCTCTAGGTCCCTGTCTCAGAAAGATGGATAGTCGATGGATGGATAGATGAATAGATGGCTTGATGGATGAGTGAATGGCTGGGTAGATGGATGGATGGATGATGGGTGGACGGATGGGTGGATGTTGGGTGGGTGGATGGATGGTGAATGGGTAGATAGGTGGATGGATGGATGGTGGATGGATGATGGGTGGATGGTGGGTGGGTGGATGGATGGTGAATGGGTGGGTGGACAGATGCCAATTAGGCCAGGATTGAGAAGTCCCACGTGGGGGCCTGTAAGGTAACAGAGTTGAGTCCACGTGACCTCACGATGCGCTGTATGAATGATGTTCCCTGGCCGGTTTTAGCTCTGTCCCCTCCCTGCTCTTGGCTCAGCAGACGTCCAGCCCCGACCGGATGTGGAGCCTCCTGCAGTTCTCCTCTCCACCCCTTCAGGGTGACAGGGCTGTCACAGCTGCTGTGGAAATGTTATGGAAATTGGTGGCACTTCCTCTGCGGATCACATGGGAAGGTGATCAACCAGAGGCATCTTGTTGCTTCCTTCTTTGCTTGAAAACAAAACAAAACAAAACAGAACAATAAAACTTCCTTTCCAGACCCCTCATCTCCCCAGGGCTTCTCTGACTCATCTGCTTTCTTCCCTTAGTTCATGCCAGACTCCTCCGTCCCTGTGCCGGTGCTATGGCTGTCTTCCCAGGGATCAGCCAACTTCCACACACCTGCCCTCAGCCCCCTCCCTCCCTTCCTTCTTTCTTTCATTTTCCTCCCTGCAGCACTAATCCTAGGTGTAATTTCTCCAGCTTTTAGGAACATGGTATATACTTCGGTGGGTGGGGACCATCCCCATCCCCAGGCAGAAGCGGCGGGAGCCTCTGCTCCCCTTCAGCTTTGTGCAAAATTACAACGGGAAACTGGAGTTCCGGATGTACATCCGGTGAGTGCCACCCTCCCCACCCCAGTGCGCTGCTTGAGCCCGGCTGTCCCAGCAGGCAGGCTTCATGGCCCCCAGGCAGCCTGGGCTGGGCTGCAGCCCCGGGCTGGCTCTGTGACCCTGGGTTGGGCCGCCTGCCCAGGGTGTGCCTAGGCCACCGGTTCCTTCGTCCTGGTGACCGTGCAGGGTCTTGGGAGTGGTGGGGTGTGAGCAGATGCAGAAGCCCACGCAGGGTATTTGGGGTGTCTGGTGGGCTAGAAGGAGCTGGGGCAGAGGTCTTTTGGGGTTGAGCAAGGCAGAGTCGGGGGCGCCCTGGGGACACTTCTGTGACCAGACCTGTCCTGAGGCTGCTTCCATCTCCAGGAAGCCGAGTGGATGCCACCTGTTCAAACTGCCCTTTACTGAGGAGGCCGATCCCGGGAGCTTCCTCACCTGTGAGTGGCCAGCGCTTGGCCTCATGGCCCCCGCTCTAGGCCTCCAGGAGCCCACAGTGCACCCACCCAGAGGTGCCTCTGGCTGACTCGGTCCCCGAGGTCCTGCGACCCTCGCGTTCTCACTCCAGGCAGGCGTTAACGGCTCCCAGGGCCAAGTTCCCCGGGCGTGCGGCAGGTTCCATGTGCTGTGGTCTCCCAGCCAAGAACCAGCTTCCCAAGCCTCTCAGCCTGGTCCCTCCCTGCCTCTGCTCACCCTTTCTCGGTATGGGCTGCCTCCCTCTGTGCTGTGGACCTCTCCTACCCCTGTCCTTGCAGGGTGGAGACACCTGATCCACATCTGGCTGCTCACACCCAGGACCTATGGCGTTGCCTTCTTCAGTGACAAGATAAATAACCAGTGGATAACCATGGTGATGCTCTTCGGTATGGCCGCTCAGCACTGTGCTGTGTGTGCCTGTGGGCACGGTGGGGTCCCATCCACACAGACCCTGGTGGTCATCCAGTCCTCCTTCTCCCTGCTCACCCCTGCCCGGCCTGCCTGACACATTTGAGACGTCCCCCTCTGCCAGTGCCCACCTCCTGCCTCTACAGCCGCTCCCCTGGGGTCCTAGCTTTCCTGCCCCCTGGTCATTGCTGCCTCGACCCGCACTGGGCTCTCGGGGCCATCCGAATGCCGCTCCTTCCTCGGACCCCACCTGGGAGGATGAGGCCCTGGATGTCCCAGGAGATCCCGGGGGGACTGTGGGTGTCCAGCCCCCCGTGAAGGGGCCTCCTTCCAGCCCACCCTCGCCTGTGCGCTTGCAGGCCGCACCCTGGATGACCACCCAATGGCACTGGAGCTGTTCGAGAGCCTTTTGGAGGAGAAGGGGCTGAACACCAGGGAGATCGTGGTCCCGCCCCACGTGGGTGAGGAGGGCCGGGTCCTCCGTCCTCTCTTCCCACCCCACTTCCTCCACCGGGCTGTGCTTTGGGCATTCCTTCTGCTGTGAGATGGTGACCCTGACACTCTCCCCGCCCTGTCCTGGGTCTGCAGACGCCTGTGAGGTGACCAGAGCCCCCTAGTGCACCCGGGGGCCGCTGCAGCAACGCTACCCGGGGACCAGGAACACCCAGATCTCTCTGAAATCCGGGCTGACGATTTAGCCAATAAAAGCGATTTGTGGCAGCCTGGCTTCCTTGCACTGCCCCCCACCCCGGGCCTCCCTCTCTCCAGAGCCTCCAGCACCCACCAGCGAGTGTCCGAGAAGGCGGGGTGTCTTTCTTCCTAGCATCCGACTAAACATACTGCGGGTGGAGGCGGCGTTTTCCTCACAGAGGTGCTGCTAGAGCGGTCCCAGCACAGTGCCTTCCGCACACAGGGCAGGGCGCTATCCGAGGGAGTCAGGAGCCCCGCACCTTCCAGTCCCGCTATTTACACGCCTCCCCCTTCCCCCCGCAGCGCGGTCCGCCCCAAACGCGTTCCCCAGCCTCTGCCTGCTCCGGGCTCCGGTGCGAGCAGCCACGAAGCGCACCTGCAGTCGCTGATGTCTCCTCGCGACCCTGAGCTCCTTTTCTTCCCAAGGCACCTTCTTATCCGCGGGTGCTTTCAGATGGCTTCAGATTTTCCGGCGATGGGGTTAGGGTTTATATCTGAGTGTCCCCTAAGGTCTCAAAGGCTTGGGAAGGAGGCTGGATCTTGGGTGTTGGGAGGTGGGGCCTGATTGAAAGAGATGCTCCCTGGGGGCGTGGCCTGGAGGGGCTATCTCCTCCCCACTCCTGTTGTCCTCCGGTTTCCTGGTTGCCATGACAATCGTTGGTGCCCTCCACGCCTTGGTGCCCTGAAACCGCTCGCTGGCCATGGACTGAGAGTGTGAGCCAAAATGAACCTCACCGCCTTTGAGTTGTGGGTGTTTGAAGCTGGGTGCTTCATACAGACAAGGTTCTTCATCTCAGAGTCCGGAGTTCAAGGCGTGGACCAGAGTGGTGCAGCAGCAGGGGCCCAAGGGGAGCCAGCAGCCAGGCCGGGAGCTCGCGGGGAGCCAGGGTCCTGGGACTGCAGCATGGTGGCCAAGCCTGGGGACTGGGGCAGGTGCCACCAGGTGCGGCCACCTCACTGCTTCAGCCTCGATCTTGTGGTACCCTCATCTGTGGTGAACTGATAGAGCAATGATGCACGGCAAGATAGGTCTTGCCTTTCCCTCGCCTTGCCTCCATGTTTTTTTCCCACAGAATGTTTTGTTTCAGAGATGTAACAGTTTGTGCTGCTGGGCGGCCCCTGCCCAAGGTATCAAAAGGTTTTGTGACCGAACAGTGTGACCTTTCAGGAATGTTCTGTTAAGCCCCGCCCCCTTGTGAGAATGTTCTGTAACTCCTCTCCCTGCTTCAGTGAGCATGCTCAACGCCGCTGCAGATCCCTGTATAAGGAGGCTCTCATTTCTGGCAGAGCAGTAGGACTTTGAGTACGAACTCCTCTGAGCCTGTTCGCATAATAAAGGTTTTTCTCCACCTCTTCGAGTGACCACTGGATTGAGAATCTGATTGAGAGTCTTCAAATTGTGATGGCCTCCACCCAGAGCTGTAACGCTGAGCTGTAACGCTGAGCTCTAGTGCTGAGCTGTGGCACCTGGCTCTGACACTGAGCTGTAGCACTTGGCCGTAGCACTGAGCTGCTCTGCTCTGCTGCAATGAACGACACTGAATACTTTTTCTGGGCTTATTCGCCGTGCATTTTTTTTCTCCTCTCTGGAGAAAAAAATGTCCCTTCATGTCTTTTCCCAGTCTCTAACTGGATTTTCTTTTTGCAGTTAAGCTTGAGGGCTCTTGAAGTACCAGTCTTTTGTCAGAAACTGACTTGAAATCCATAGCTTGTCTTTTCCCCTTGGCAAATCTCCACGGAGCAAAAGATTTAATGGTGATGCAGTCTAGTTATCAATTTTTTTCATTTATGGACTTCACTTTCCATGTCAAGTCTAAGAAATTTTCACCTAGTCCTAGGTCCTGAAGACTCCCTCATAGCTTTTTTCTAAAAGTTAGGTAGTTTTCTGCATTACCTTTAAGTTGAGGATCCACTTGGAGTTGATTTTAGTTGATTTCAGTTGCAAGCTTTAGATGGGGCTTGTCTATATGCTCAGTTGCTCCTGCCACAGCTATCAGAATGACTGTCCCTTCCCCACAAAATTTCTTTTGCAGCTTTGTCAGAGATCAGTTGTTGCATTTGTATGAGTCTGTGTTTGGGTGCCCTGACCCTCTGGTATTGGGGATCGAACCCAGGTCCCCATATGGTAGACAAGTGCTCTACCACTGAGCTACAACCTCAGCCCTTTTTATTTTTGAGAATGTCTTACTAAATTACCCCAACTGGCCAGTAGCAGTCCTCCTGCCTCGGCCTCATGAGTATCTGGGATTATAGTTGTTCAACACCCTACTCTCTCTTCTTTTCCATTGATCTTTGTGTCCTTCCTTCGGCCAATACCATACCATCTTGATTGGTGAGGTAATAGTAAGTCTTTAACTTGGCAGATTGATTCTTCCTACTTTATTATTTTTCAAAATGAGTTTTGCCATTCTATTTCCTTGGCCTTAACATATAAACTTTAGAAATAAGTTTGTCTATATCTCCAAAGTATCTTGATGGGAGTTGGATGGAGTTACAGAAATTCTGAAAAAGAACCAAAACAGAAATCTTGGAAATGAAAAGTTCAGTAAGTCAAATTAAAAACTCAGTTGAAAGCCTCACCAATATAATAATAGATCAGGCAGAAGGAGGAATATCAGGGCTTGAAGAGAAGGTTGATGAATTATCACATTCTGATGACGATAAAAAATAAGGAAGAATGAGCAGAACATACAGATCTGTGGGACACTATTAAAGGACCAATCCTAAATATAATCAGAATAGACAAGTGAGAAGAACTACAGACTGAAGGCATGGAAAGAAAACCTATTCAATGAAACAGTACCAGAAATTTTCCTAAGTCTTGGAAAAGATATGAACAACTGAAGCATTTAACCACCAAATAGACACGACCAGAAGAGAACCTTTTGCAGCATATTACAGTTGAACTGCCAAAGTACAGAGCAAAGAATGAAGAGTAAAACCTGCACAGGCAAAGCACCCAGTCACACACAAAGGCAAAGTCGTCAGAGTAAAAGCAGGTATCTCAGCAGAAACCCTAAAGGCCTGGAGGGCATGGAATGATGTATTTTGAGCCCTGGAAAAAAAATAAAGGCCAACTGTAACCAACAAAATCATCCTTCAGCACTGATGGTGAAGTAAAGACCTTTCAAGATAAGCATATGCTAAAGGAATTCATGAGCACTAAGCCAGCATTTCAGAAGAAATTTAAAAGAATCTTACACCAAGAAGGCAAAGCAAAATAAACAAAATCATGAGAGCACAGGAAAAAGTCAATCTCACTAGAAGATAAGCAGATGAGAATTAGGAAATAATTAAATGGTATTAATTCAATAAACCATCAAATGTCTAAGATGAATGGGGGTAAAAACATGAAAATAGATTATTCAAATCAACCAGTTGGAAAACAACAGACTGACAGGTCCTAGTACATATCTTTCTGTAATAACCCTGAATGCAAATGATGATCTCAATTCTCTAATTAAAGTGCATAGACTAGTTGATCAGATGGAAAAATAAGAACTAACAATTTGCTGGCTGCAAGAAACTCACAAGCAAAGGGATACACACACTGAAAGGGGAACAATTTAAAATCATATTCAAAGCAAATGGAATCTAAAAGCAAACAGGAGTAGGTATATTCATATTCAACAAAGAGATGAAGTTTACTACATATTGATAAAGGGAACAGCCTATCAAAAAGATACAATAATTGTAAGTAGATATGCATCAAACATCAGCACACCCAATTTTATTTTAAAAAATACTACTTGACATAAAGTGAGAGTTAGATTTCAATATGAGAATAGTGGGTAACTTCAGTATCCCACTCTCATGAATGGACAGGTCATCCAGACAAAAAAAATGAACAGAGGAACATGAGTTTAATTACACTAGAGATCAAATGGATTTAACAACCTACAGAGTATTCCCATGAACAGCACCAGAATACATGTTCTTTTCATCAGCATGTGGAACTTTTTCCAAATAGATAATATATTATGCTACAGAGTGAGTCTTAGCAAATTCTAAAAAACTGAAATAGTTTCTTACATCCTACTAGATCATTACAAAATGAAATTAGAAATCAACAGCAAGAGTATGGAAATTATACAAATACATGGAGATTGAAGATTACACTTTTATTTATTCATATTTTTTTTGGTACCAGGGATTGAATTCGGGACTTTGTGCTTGTGAGGCAGGTGGCAGAACGACTGAGCTAAATCCCTGGCCCTGAAGAATACACTTTTAAATGAATATTGGATCAGTGAAGAAATTAAAAGAGAAATTCCAAAATTCCTAGACTCAAATGAAAATGGAAGCACAACATACCAGAACCTGTGGAATACAGCAAAAGCTGTACTAACAGGGACTTTACAGCTAGTAGTGTCGACATTTAAAAAGAAAAAACAAAGACAGACAGATCTCTCTTTTGGTGCATTTCAAGTTCTTATACAAGCAAGAATAAGCTAAACTCAAAATCAGTAAAAGAAAAGAAACAGTAAAGATCAGGGCAGAAGCGGGCATGGTGGTTTCCCCCCTGTGATCCCAGCACTTGAGAGACTGAGGCAGGAGGATCACTGAAAGTTCGAGGCCAGCCCGGGCTACTAAGTGAGTTCAAGGCCAGCCGGAGTTATATAGTAAAGCCTGTCTCAAAAACAAATAAACAAACAAATAAATAGATAAAAATCAGGACAGAAATAAATGAAATAGAGAATAAACAAACAATACAAAGGATCAATGAAATAGTCATTTCTTTGAAAAGATAAAACTGACAAACCCTTAGTTAAGCTAACCAACAGAGAGAGAAGATCCAAATAAAATGAGAACTGAAAAGGGGTATTACAACAGATACCTCCAAAATTCATAGGGTCATTGGGAATATTTTGAAAAATGATATACCAATAAGGTGAAAAATCTAGAAGAAATTGACACATTTCTGGACACATATGACCCACCTAACTAGAACCAAGAGGTTGTGAGAACTTCACACAGATCAATAACAAGCAGTGATATTGAAGCAGAAACAATTTCTCTCAACAAAGAAAAGCCCAGGACTGGACAGATTCACTGCTGAATTTTGCCAGGCTCTTAAAGAACACCAGTGCCCCAGACTCACCCACAAACTAGAAAGGGAAGCAACCCTACCAAATGTAGTGTGCAAAGCTGGTATTACTCTGCTGCCAAATGTGATGGGGACAAAAACTTTGTCATAGCCCATCATCCTTGATGAACATAGATGCAAAGATCCTCAGTAAAATACTTGCAAATATAATTCCGCAGAGCACTGAAAAGACCATGCACCAGGCTCAAGTTGGCTGCTCTCCAGGGATGCCACAATGGTTCAAGATATGCAAATCAACACAGATCACCCTCCTTTAATGACCTAGCTGTTTAAGGACTGTTCAGACTTACCATGAGGAGAGCTGTTCAGGTCTAACGACCCGCGCTCAGACCTATGACCCATCCTTTTATTTCATTTTTGTAGTTCTGTACCTTTTGTTCACAGATCCTCAATGTCTTTTTCTGTACAGCTCACCTTGTTCTATGGTGCTGTCATTTGTGCTGCTTGTGCTATACGGGGCAGTCCTGTGGTTCTATGCTCTGTCGGACCTTACAGCACTGCACGTAAGTTATGCAAAGAAAAGCAAGACATCAAGTTGGAGTTTCCCGTCTTTTTTTTTTTTTTTTTGTACCGGGGATTGTACTCTGGACCTTGTGCTTGCGAGGCAGGCAGTGGAACCACTGAGCTAAATCCCTATGGAGTTTCCTTTGACTGTTTCTTTGCTCTGAATATTGTAACGTACATGCCACACACAACTCCTCACTGAACAAGCTAATCACAGGACCAGAACTCGGTTGTTAAATGAGGAACTTCTGTAATCAATGCAGCCAGGAACAAGGACAGGCCTGAGGGGTGCAGCCCAAGTGGGCTGGGGGGCCAAGTGCGGATCCCTCTCACACAGGAAGAAATTTCCTGACCTCGGCGCTTTGCGAGTACCCTGAACCCAGGACCTGGCAGGTGTTTCTGTGCTGTCTTCTAGGGCTGCTGGCCCTTTCATTCACCCACAGCTCACCTCCCAGTTTGGAATGAAAAAGACAGAGCAGCCCTGAGGATGCAGCTGTCCCACGACTTCTCCAGGAAGAAAAACGCAGCTGCTGGGATCTTCTGCTGCAGTTTGCTTAATTCTAAAGAAATTGTTTTGCAAGCTGAAGGCAGATACTTAGTTTTAAACAGGTGCTTAGGTTGTGATGTTTGTGAATTCTTTCACTCCTGTTCCAAACAAGAAGAGCCCCATAAACAGTGAGTAC